GCTGGACTAGAGGTAAGGGAGAGAAGGCTGCTTATGATACCAGGAAGTACAAGTGGGACTCGGGAGAAGAAGAGAAGCGGGTGTATGAAAACAATCTGCCAACCTCCTCTACTCCCTGCACATCTGAACCCCATCTCTCTCTATAATTGTGCTAGTTTCACTTTCACCTGAATTCGTGACAGCACCTCTTACACTAACAGCAACTCGACTACAGCATTACAAACAACCAAGGCATCATCATCTAATAACCATGGCAGCATCACACAACAACCATGGCAGCATCACACAACAACCATGGCAGCATCACACAACAACCATGGCAGTATCACACAACCACCAAGGCAGCATAACACACCCACCCCGCCCCAGTGACTCACAGCACATCGTCACCCAACAGTGCTCGCGGCAGTGTAAAGAATGCACTTCCCTCCCACCTGTCTACGCCTGCAGCTCTGGTCGATATGTCACCTTTCAGAAATTCCTTTTAATGCGTTGCTTTGTCTGAAGTATCCAGTGGCTCGCGGCGTGTCTCACAGTTCCCACACACACACACACACGCATGTAAATCTGTCTGTCCTAAGAACACTTACATGTTCCCAAATGAGATGACCATAATGGAATGAGAGAAATCCTTAAAGGAAATTACGAGTCAATGTTCAGTGAGGAGTATAAAAAAAGGCAGCGCGCTCTCTCACGCTTGGCGGAGGGAGGTTCTAGTTTCTACCACTAGCGCTGAATGACCCACACGGGTTTAGCGCTTAACTCTTCACAAAAATAGTGCTCCCGTCGACGATATAAAAGATGAAGATACAAATATTTTTTTTCTTTATAATTCCGGTTTTCCCTACAAATTATGTATCTGACACACACAAATTCTTCAAATTTTGAAAGTGTATTAGAAAACATACCCACGTCCGCAGTACCTGGGCCTGACTCTTAGAATGTGTTATTTATGAAGAAATGTAAAGTACCATTACCAATAGTACTCAGTGTTCATTGGAGGAGTTTAGAGTCGGGTGAAATCTCAGAGGACTTTAAAAGTACAGACAAAGCCTTCTTCAAAGGTGGCAGCAGAGAAATATCACAACACACCAGTAGCACTATCACACATCATAAAAATATTGGAAGGGGATCCGAAATGTTTACTTACTGACTTGGAGAAATATGAGCTATACAACCCACGTCACAAATATTATATGACAAAATTACGGAGGTTTTGGAAGGAAAACAAGTCGCTGATGTAATCTACACGGCTTTTGTTCAGGCATTTAGCAAATGGATCAAATAAATAATGCCACGGTCTTAGACCATTACAGTTTCTCATCCTTGTAGCAAACACGGGAACACTAACCACAGCTTTCGTATCTTCCTGTGTAGACGATATTAAAATAAGAACGGAAATCACCTCAGTAGAGGACACACGAATTACAAACATAACAGAATCTTCCAACAGACAAATTAAAACAGCATGATATTCAATGATTACAAATTTGAACTGTTTAGGCACGGAAGAATGAAAGCCTCAGAACGAGCACAGAGCGCAGTAAACTAAATTATAGAACGTAAGAAACAAAACTTAAGACATAATTATGTAGGAAGTTCTGTCGCCTGGAAAGCACAGTAAGGAAAACGCAGCAAAGGCAGCATTTGTTGCTCATCTAGTTGTGGGTATTGTGTACCATTAATAACTCCACTGTTGCAAGTTGATGCTCTCAAAACAAAATTCTTTTTCAGGTGAACTTGAGAAAAGTAAGAGTGGAAAGATGGGAGTGTTTGAGCCAGGGCTATGAGGTAAAAATAGCGGTGCTTATTGATTTCACGTCAGACTGTGTGATGGTGAAGATGGCAGCACAGAAGTTCTGAGCCAGCAATGAGCACAGTGCTGCCAGGCTAACAACTTGCACACACACACTGATATACCTGTGACCTGTTTCCTGAGTTTTCCTACTCCCACAACCCGGCCTGAAGCCAGACTTCCCTGCTAACTGCCTCGTCAACCAAGCTGTTTGTGCTAGCGGCCCGCACGTCCAAATAACCAACACAACCCGGCACTTATAGATGCTGCTCGTTGTGGCAACATCTGACATTTGCTGGTGGTCTAGTTAAGAGTCTTGAACCATATATGACGACACAGAATTCTTTCACTGTACCATGTCTGTTAAGGACTCGAAAATCTCCGTCTCAAAAATTTATCTTTCGCCATCAATCACCATGACTGTGGTGGCAGCCCAAGAGCATATGATTACACAAAAGGCTTAGGAACTTGACCCCAAAAGGGTTAAATGGAGTACATCTGGATTTACATCTACGGTTGAATTATGTTGCAAGTATTTTATTTTCATTAGTAAAATATCTAAACATATCACACAGGTTATTATACTATATATCTATATTGTTCAATAAGTAGACAATAGAGCACATAGTGTTCAAAATAGTGACCATAGGACTGGTCACATGTTTCGCACTTGGTCTGATCATCATCTGTATCTGAATATCAAAATGGTATACAGTACCGACAGGTTGGTAGGTAAGACACATAGGCAACAGTTAGGCAACTTTATTCCGAAACGTTTCGCCTACACAGTAGGCTTCTTCAGTTGAGTACAGAAAGTAAGACACTTGTGCAACATCTGGTTATCTTTATCTTGCACAACTTGTCAGGACATGCAACATCATGGAATCTTGGTTCAGAGGACATCTACATGACCTTCTTCACGGCTGCTGCAACTAACCCATCGATTTGGGTAGGACCTACTTCCACTGGGGAATCCCGCCCACCAGTGACTATGCCCTCGTCTGCTACACGTCCCTATTCACTGACGCCTATAAAAGCGCCAGTCTCTTTACCTGTGCTTCAGAATCTCTACAACCACGGTGTTGTAAACACCACCTCCAAGGCTGAGGGACTGATTACCTCATCTTTTGTATATAGTTCTTCTGTTTTCTAATTATGTCCAAGAATCTGTATTTATAAAGCCACTGGATGGTGAAACGTCTACAATAAAGATAGCCAGATGTTGCACAAGTGTCTTAACTTTCATCTTGTCGGTATTGTATACCTGTCTTACACAGTACAGAAAGTAGGCAGGAACAGTAGATATGAAGACGATGTAATCAGTCCATCACCATGGAAGTCGTAGATTTGAGGTTGTCAGTCCCTCAAATGACAACCTCAAATCTACTTCAAGGTGATGGACTGATTACATCGTCTTCACATATTTACTACTCCTGCCTACTTTCTATACTCGACTGAAGAAGCCTACTGTGTAGGCGAAACGTTTCGGAATAAAGTTGCCTAACTGCTGCCTATGTATCTTACCTATCATCTGTGTCTGTCAAACTGCCAGAAGTACTTGTAACGAAGCCTGGCAACATAAGCCGGGTGCATACATTCACATCTCCCTCGCCGGAGTTCACAGTTTCCAACCTCAAGAGTTACACATTCATAATATTTTAAAAAATTTTAAAGGTACTTGATAAAGCCTAATGTTGTGCAAGGAACTGTAACAATAGAGCACTTCCCTACACAAGTTTATATTCCAACAACTGTCAGCATATTGCCATTGTCTCCATTATTATTATTATCATCACATCCATTACCACCACTATCAACACCACAACCACCACCAACACTATCACCTACAGACTCTTAGTGTAACTAGGCAACAAAGAAAAATTGTTACAACCTGTTTAATACAAGTGTTAAACTTGTCTGAGACAAACACACTCGTCATTGTCTGTTACAAACACCCTGGTCAATACACGTGCAGAACTTTTCTGACAAACACCCTGATCAATACAATAACTGACTCTGTAATAAACGCAGCTACAACAATTCTTGTAGCAATAATTGCCGCTACAGCCGTAACTGTAGAAATAACTGCAACTACAACTTCATCTATAAAATAATTGCAGCTAGTGTATATACATCCAGAGGTGTGGATGTGTATATATACATCCAGAGGTGTGGATGTGTATATATACACCCAGATGTGTGTGTGTGTACACTGAGGAGTGTATCTCTCAGGGTGTATACATAGGGTTTACGTTAGTAACTATTTCAGGGATTAAAGTGTTCCTGATGGCGGTGTACAAGCGGAATGCAACGTTAATGTCCCTCATGTCGACGATAGGCTTTAAACCTAACCAGCCAATACCCCAACGGCCTTCCCCAAGGTTATACACCTATCAAGCTAACCCACTATAGCCTAAGCCAAGGTTACAAACCTAACAACCCAATCTCCCTATGGCCTAACCCACAGTTACCAGCTAATCCTTTCCCCCTACAGTCTACCACGAGGCTTTATACCAAACAATCCAACCTCCAGTAATGCCTACCATAATGAGTTCTTCCTACTAAATACAACACTTGACTTACCTTCAGAAACACAACGTTCGTATCCCCTCGCAAAATGAAGACTAAGCTATAAGAAAAGTCATAGCGAAAAGTTCTTCTATAATCACGTGAAAATACTAACTTTTCTAAAAACACTGGAACCGAGAGTGGGTTTAATATTTTCAAAACACCTGAAAAAGAAAATTTTTGAATGATTTTCTGCGTAATACTTGGAAATGTGGGACAAGTATGTGATTCTTCTCTTAAATACTTGTAAACATGAAAAATTATTTTACCTTAGCAAATACCTGAAAACATGGGACAAATCTTGAATTTTCAAAACACGTGGAAACAGGATTTTTTTTTTTTACATTTTTCCCCAAACACCTGGAAACACGGGACATTTTTTTCCCAAAACTCCTTAAAAAAAAGGGACACTTTTTTTATGTATTCCTCTCCCCCATCCCCCTCTGGGAACATGGGATATTTTATACATTTTTTTTCCAAACACGTGGAAGCGACACACATCTTCCACATATCAAAGCACCAGGAGAAATGAGAAATTTCTTTCGCACGTCCAAGCACCAGGAAAAATGAGACACTTCCTCCACATACGCAAGCAGCAGACAACACCTGAAAGACATGAGTGTGAGGGGCAGCTTACCTTAGCAATCTCAGGCTTCTGGGCGATGAAGTTACAGTAGGAGACGTCGACGAAGTTGGGTCCATGAACGATGGTGAAGCTCTTCTGCTCCATGAGGTCAGTGGAACCAGACTTGTTCAGCTTGGGGTCCTGTAGGGAGGAGGAGGACCCAACAACGTTAAACAAGTATACAGAGGCAGTTAAAAGTATCTCCCTAGACTCTTTTTAGATTTATCAAGACGAATATTATAGGCAATCTCGTTAATCACAAAAGACAGACAAGACAGTAGACAGACAGTAAACAAGACTGATAGACTGACAGTAGACAGACAGTAAGATAGGCAAAACTTCGTAAAATAAATCACTGACAGACTGACAGTAAGATAGACAAACTTTGTAAACAAATCTCGGGTAATTGATGTATCTGTTAATATATAAAAAAATAACTGTGTCTCCATGTTAATGAATAGCTTCGCATTAATAGATTTTTTTTTTTAAAATTCAACGAGTTTTTTTTAGCTGTAATATTCACGGGGAAGCGATAAATCCATAAGAGCTCTATAGACCTTGGGTAGACAATGGCAAAAATCTGACAGGTGTTAATAAAGACATTGGTATCTGATGAACCTATCAACACAACGTTTCGCCCAACCTGACAAAGCCTGCTTATCAAGTAACACACTTGATTAAATAAACGTTTTAGTAAACGTTTTAATAAAACGTTTTAAAACAATTTTGTGTTACCAGTCTATATTACAGCATAAAACTTGGGGAATGGCGTTTAATCAGGTTTGAGCCGAGGAAAATTCTACACCTAAAACCTGATCAAGCCGGGTTGTTGGTGCTGGCAGACTGCATGCCCACACAGCCGTTACAACCTGTTTGATCCAACACTTTCAACAAACAGTACCAGTTCCTTGCATCAAGAACCTTTGATAAGCATTAATGTTAACTCTCATTGAGGGAATTTTTGGTAAGAGCCGAGGTTGACCACCATAGGTTGGTTGATCAGTGGAGCGTTTCAAGCCTGTCTACTATACGAGGCTGTATGTCACTTGTTCAAGTCAGGAATACTTTAATACTTAAAGGATTAAAGTAACCTCTCGGTGTATATACACTGGCATACACCTCTCGGTGCATATACACTGGCACATACCTCTCGATGTTTATACACTGCGGCATACACCTCTCGGTGTATATATACTGCGGCATACAGCTCTCGGTGTATATACATTGCGGCATACACCGCTCGGTGTATATACACTGGCATACACCTCTGTGTATATACACTGTGGCATACACCTGTGTATATACACTGTGGCATACACCTCTGTGCATATACACTGTGGCATACACCTCTGTGTATATATACTGTGGCATACACCTCTGTGCATATACACTGTGGCATACACCTGTGTATATACAGTATGGCATACACCTGTGTATATACAGCATGGCATACACCTTTGTATATACACTATGGCATACACCTCTGTGCATATACACTATGGCATACACCTCTGTGCATATACACTATGGCATACACCTCTGTGCATATACACTATGGCATACACCTCTGTGCATATACACTATGGCATACATCTCTGTGTATATACACTATTGCATACACCTCTGTGTATATACACTGGCATACACCTCTGTGTATATACACTATAGCATACACCTCTGTGTATATACACTACAGCATACATCTCTGTGTACATATACACTATGGCATACACCTCTGTGTATATACACAATGGCATACACCTCTGTGTATATACACTGGCATACACCGAGAGGTGTATATATGATTCATACTGATACTTGTTATGTACAAGTTACGGTTGATTAGGTAAAAATAGCAAGGTGACTCGGGTCAAGATAACAAGGTGGGTTCAGTTAGGTTAAGATAACAAGGTGGGTTCAGTTAGGTTAAGATAAGGTGGGTTCAGTTAGGTTAATATAACAAGGTGGGTTCAGTTAGGTTAATATAACAAGGTGGGTTCAGTTAGGTTAAGATAACAAGGTGGGTTCAGTTAGGTCAAGATAACAAGGTGGGTTCAGTTAGGTTAAGATAACAAGGTGGGTTCAGTTAGGTAAAGATAACAAGGTGGGTTCAGTTAGGTCAAGATAAGGTGGGTTCAGTTAGGTCAAGATAACAAGGTGGGTTCAGTTAGGTTAAGATAACAAGGTGGGTTCAGTTAGGTTAAGATAACAAGGTGGGTTCAGTTAGGTTAAGATAACAAGGTGGGTTCAGTTAGGTTAAGATAACAAGGTGGGTTCAGTTAGGTCAATATAACAAGGTGGGTTCAGTTAGGTTAAGATAACAACGTGGGTTCAGTTAGGTCAAGATAACAAGGTGAGTTCAGTTAGTAGATGAATGGTTCAGAGAACCGACATGTTGATAAATTAGACACATGTGCAACTCTTGGGTATCTTTATTGAGGAAACGTTTCGCCACACAGTGGCTTCATCAGTCCATACAAAGGAGAATCTTGAAGAACAGGAGGAGAATGAGGTAATCAGTCCCTCAACCTTGAGTCGATGTGGTCAGTCCATCAATCTTGAATAGAATACGTGCTGAGAAGGAGCTTATAAACCGTTGGCAGGAGAGGTGTAGCAGTCATAGGTCGTGTAACATTTGTCAATGTTGAAGTAGTTCGTGCCCAAGAATTAGGCTAGCGAAGATTCCCAAGTATTAAGATCCCCAAAAATTGCAGTGGTCTGACCAGGTTTGTAGATGAATGGTTCAGAGAACCGACATGTTGATAAATTAGACACATGTGCAACTCTTGGGTATCTTTATTGAGGAAACGTTTCGCCCCACAGTGGCTTCATCAGTCCATACAAAGGAGAATCTTGAAGAACAGGAGGAGAATGAGGTAATCAGTCCCTCAACCTTGAGTCGATGTGGTCAGTCCATCAATCTTGAATAGAATACGTGCTGAGAAGGAGCTTATAAACCGTTGGCAGGAGAGGTGTAGCAGTCATAGGTCGTGTAACATTTGTTCAATGTTGAAGTAGGTCGTGCCCAAGAATTAGGCTAGCGAAGAATTCCCAAGTATTAAGATCCCAAGAAGTTGCAGTGTCTGACAGGTTTGTAGATGAATGGTTCAGAGAACCGACATGTTGATAAATTAGACACATGTGCAACTCTTGGGTATCTTTATTGAGGAAACGTTTCGCCACACAGTGGCTTCATCAGTCCATACAAAGGAGAATCTTGAAGAACAGGAGGAGAATGAGGTAATCAGTCCCTCAACCTTGAGTCGATGTGGTCAGTCCATCAATCTTGAATAGAATACGTGCTGAGAAGGAGCTTATAAACCGTTGGCAGGAGAGGTGTAGCAGTCATAGGTCGTGTAACATTTGTTCAATGTTGAAGTAGGTCGTGCCCAAGAATTAGGCTAGCGAAGAATTCCCAAGTATTAAGATCCCAAGAAGTTGCAGTGTCTGACAGGTTTGTAGATGAATGGTTCAGAGAACCGACATGTTGATAAATTAGACACATGTGCAACCATTCATCTACAAACCTGTCAGACACTGCAACTTCTTGGGATCTTAATACTTGGGAATTCTTCGCTAGCCTAATTCTTGGGCACGACCTACTTCAACATTGAACAAATGTTACACGACCTATGACTGCTACACCTCTCCTGCCAACGGTTTATAAGCTCCTTCTCAGCACGTATTCTATTCAAGATTGATGGACTGACCACATCGACTCAAGGTTGAGGGACTGATTACCTCATTCTCCTCCTGTTCTTCAAGATTCTCCTTTGTATGGACTGATGAAGCACTGTGTGGCGAAACGTTTCCTCAATAAAGATACCCAAGAGTTGCACATGTGTCTAATTTATCAACATGTCGGTTCTCTGAACCATTCATCTACAAACCTGTCAGACACTGCAACTTCTTGGGATCTTAATACTTGGGAATTCTTCGCTAGCCTAATTCTTGGGCACGACCTACTTCAACATTGAACAAATGTTACACGACCTATGACTGCTACACCTCTCCTGCCAACGGTTTATAAGCTCCTTCTCAGCACGTATTCTATTCAAGATTGATGGACTGACCACATCGACTCAAGGTTGAGGGACTGATTACCTCATTCTCCTCCTGTTCTTCAAGATTCTCCTTTGTATGGACTGATGAAGCCACTGTGTGGCGAAACGTTTCCTCAATAAAGGGTTCAGTTAGATTAAGATAACAAGGTGGGTTCAGTTAGGTCAAGATAACAAGGTGGGCTGAGTTAGGTTAAGATAACAAGGTGGGTTCAGTTAGGTTAAGATAAGGAGGGTTCAGTTAGGTCAATATAACAAGGTGGGTTCAGTTAGGTTAAGATAGCAAGGTGGGTTCAGTTAGGTCAAGATAACAAGGTGGGTTCAGTTAGGTTAAGATAACAAGGTGGGTTCAGTTAGGTCAAGATAACAAGGTGGGTTCAGCTAGGTTAAGATAACAAGGTGGGTTCAGTTAGGTTAAGATAAGGTGGGTTCAGTTAGGTCAATATAACAAGTTGGGTTCAGTTAGGTTAAGATAACAAGGTGGGATCAGTTAGGTCAAGATAACAAGGTGGGTTCAGTTAGGTTAAAATAAGGTGGGTTCAGTTAGGTCAAGATAACAAGGTGGGTTCAGTTAGGTTAAGATAACAAGGTGGGTTCAGTTAGGTCAAGATAACAAGGTGGGTTCAGTTAGGTTAAGATAGCAAGGTGGGTTCAGTTAGGTTAAGATAACAAGGTGGGTTCAGTTAGGTTAAAATAACAAGGTGGGTTCAGTTAGGTCAAGATAACAAGGTGGGTTCAGTTAGGTCAAGATAACAAGGTGGGTTCAGTTAGGTTAAAATAACAAGGTGGGTTCAGTTAGGTCAAGATAACAATGTGGGTTCAGCTAGGGTAAGATAACAAGGTGGGTTCAGCTAGGGTAAGGCGGGCTCGGTTAGGATAAGGTTGGTTAGATTAATAAGGTAGGTTAAGATAAGGTAGGATATAAGATAGGTTAGGATATGGGTTAGGATAAGGTGGGCTAGGTAAAGATAAGGTGGGTTCTCAGAGAGTGGGGCAGTAATACACAACAGTACCGTCAAATACACGAAGCCGACACGTTTTTGCACCCAGTTTCGCCCTAAATAGCGCTTAAAGTCTATTATAAACTTGATAAAGCACTACATGAGGGGAAAAGTCGCCTAATAAAAACGATCTACTGCGTGTATAGTAATATTCTGAAGAAGGTTGTTACCGTTTAGTTACTAGAGGACGTTGCTGCTTCTCCTGCTGGAGTCAATTGTGCTGTTGACAAAAGGGTGTGTTAAGTTTTCTGTGATGGTAGTGATATTGTTGTGGGTTTGGTGGTAGTGGTATTGTGGG